ATTACACGGCGAGTCTATCTACGATACAGCGGCCTTGACAGGGGTTATATTTACATCACCTTTTTAGTGTATTGCAGGTCACTTCCGGGTATTTCGAATCACCTGGTAAATGGCTAAAAACAGTCAGATAACAACATTATAATTAATGAATTAGTTGGTATTGTTTACCAAAAGTATCAAAAAATAAAAAGAATTATTTTCTTGTTGAATGTTGTTGGTTTTTTTATTAAGTTATTAAAGCCCCCCCCCCCCCCCCCTTCTGTAGACAACACTATAAAACAGCGTTCTCAGAGGCGGATCATGCAGAAAAGCAAATACCAACAGAATATTTACTTTCTGAAATTACCTGATTGTAAATTGTTGTCCTGTAAATATAATCATGATAATTATGTAATTTTTTTTTTACCTATGTGATTTTTTTAATGCAAATAATTAACATTGAACTGTCATAATTCTACGAGTAGGCTACCAAATAATGATATAATGATGATAAAAAAAAATTGTGAAAAGGAATTAAACCAACTCATGTTTAGATTTCATGATTATCAAGAATGACGTATATCACTGCATACGTGTACTCGTACATATCAACATTGATCAACACTGATCAAGTGTATACCGGGACCCGGGATAGTCTTATTATAGCTCTTGCTTTGTCAAATCATTACTTTCATACCCCTTGCATTTAAGGAAAACAATGTTATAAAAAAAATAATAATCTGACATATAACAAGTATACATGTAGCGTGTGCAATTTATTTGGCTAGGGGCATGTACACACGTGGTTCGAAACTATAGGGGGCTACAAATGCGGCCATAACTAGTATATTTTTGAGGTGTTATAAAAAAACAAATAATACTCACAAAAGCTTATAAAATTGCCGTTCTATCGATACCTTATATGCCATAATTCATCCACCAACAACGCCACGACATCGATGAGAAATACCATGCAACGTTTCTACACGGGCATTTTCTTCGAAAAGGGTAGGAAGTTAATGAATTAAAATAATTAATTCTTTTAGTTAACGCATTATGTTTACCTCTTTATTTGTTGTATGCAATAAGTATAGACCTTACTAATAATGGCTGTTTGGTTGTCACACCTGTGCATGTGTCGTGCGAGGTACAGCGGTAAGGTAAATTACCGAGAGTCGCGATATGCGGGGTGATTCGGAATACCCTAAATGATCTAACATGGGCCCACATAATACGACTAAATTCGTTTCATGAATGAACTGGTTCTTAACAAATATATGTACAGTATACAATATCTTTTCTTTAGAAATGTTTGTTTATTATTTTCAACCACAATCTGCAGTTACACGAAATCCATGCACAACGGCGCTACACCTGTCAATCAAAATCACTCGATATTGTGAACTCAGTCTGGTGTTACGGCAGCATTTCCGAAGTGATTCAAAATATTCTATCGGCTAATTCTAATTTTTCGCGTTGAATAATAATATTTTGGAACAAAGTTGGAATTAAGGCTGGAGCTGCATGCTGTGAATTTATCACACCTGCAGTCTGCAGTCTATGTATATGAAGCATCTGTTGAGTAATGAATCAGAGAGCATAATATGCGGAACAAGTTTGATTGAGATTTTTACTTTTCCTTTAAGATAAAATGATTAATAACATAATTTATGCATCTAATAGATACATATCAATGTACATGTGTAGCTTTTTAAAAACAAGAATCTGTAATTGAAAATGTTAAAGTGAAGAGTTTAGGTAATAGTTCTTAACCAAAATTTAATGACAGTTCATTCCTTCCTAGTCTCTATATAACTTTTAATTACGGCCGTGCCCTCTCCCCTTCAATTGATGTCTTATACATGCTTTTAAATTCTGTTTATGTATCAAGAAATTTCCACAGGTACTTGTGGACAGGATCCCCCCCCCCCCCCCAAATTCAACCCCGATGTTTGTTGGACATTTTTTTTCCACAAATTATATTTATTTCACTTATTCATCATGTGTACCATAGGAAAAAATCGAGTACAAGTACCTGTGGAAATTTCTTTTTGCCCCCCTCCCTCCAAAAAAACTGAAATTGCTTTCTACGGGCTTGACAAAAGGTACTTGTGGACAGACCCCCCCCCCCCCGATATTCAACCCCGGGGCTTGTTGGACATTTTTCCCACAAATTGTATTTATTGCACTTACTCATCATGTGTACCATATGAAAAAATCGTGAAAACCCCATTTGATAATCGTTCCACACAAAAAATGCCTCACTGTGTATAGTTAAAACATTAATTTTTCATATTTCTTGATGAAATTAACATTAAAATAAGCAACACAAAATTAATACCGGATTACATATCACTTGAATTTATCATAAAGCAGAAAATCTGTTATGCGGGCTTCAAGGCCAGCTCAGGAACCTAAAGATGTCCTCATTTTCCAAGTCCAGTACAGAACGTAAAATAAATGAAATAAATCACACGATCACTGGGATGAACTCAAAGAAAGAAGACTCTTGAGGAAAAGATATTTTGATTCGACTTATAGACTGAAATAAACCGATATTCTCTTTTTGGCACTCTTTCCTGGTGCCCTGGGACTCTGAATGTAGGATCAGTATTTTTTTCACAGGTCCGTTGTACGGATTGTACCGGGGGGGGGGGGGGGAGACCTTCTGAAAATAGTCTTTTGCTGTAGTTTTAATATGTAAATTTTGATTTAGTTGCTGCTTGCACCCTCCCCACTCTTTGTTTCTCTACGGTCATACATAGGCGAATCCCAGCAAAAATGTAATGACCCCCCCCCCCCAACACACACTTTCTTTTAAATATATATTGCGATAGGACTTAAAATAGGAAAACATTTTCTGCATATCTCTACATCGAAAAATATAAAACAAATATTTTTTTATATTTTCTTTTTAAAACAACATAGATAATTATGCATAGCTAATTAGATACTGAATTAAATATTTATCTTTGCAGACAATATGCTCTGGGTTATAGAACATGATGTGAAAGCGTATTGTAATGCACCTTGTAATCCTTTGGATTTTCAGATTTAAGGCCAATGCGAAAACCCAAAGACGCCGACATTTTTTTTTATGCTACTGTAATCGAAGATCCGGGGGGCAAACAGTTTTTGTCCTGTCCACCTATCTATTTGTCTGTTAGACTGTGTTAGCCTCTTTGTCCGCAAAAAACTATGCCCATAAAATTTGATTGGTTGGAACTACTGCTTTCATATTTCTTATGTGTATTCCTAGTAACAAGGACTTCCTTCAGGTACCAACATATTTGACCTCTTGACCTTGAACTTGGAGTTTGATCCTCTTTCGCAAAATTTTACCAAACTATAACCTTGGCCAAAACTTTTGAACAGTTGGTGCTATGGCTTTTATACTTCACATCTGTATCCCTTGTGATAAGTCTCCTCCTTGGGTATAAATATGTTTGACCATTTGACCTTGATCTTGGAGTTTGACCAACTTTTAAACAACTTTAGCCTTGACAATAACTTTTGAATGACTAGTACTAGGGCTTTTATATTACATAGGTAATTTTCTTGTGACAAGGCCTGTCATTGTATACCTTTAATTTTGACCATTTTACCATGACCTTTGAGTATGTCCTACTTTTGAAAAACTTTAACCTTGGTTTTAACTTTTAAACAGTTGGTGCTAAGGCTTTTTTAAAACCATATGTGTATTCCTTGTAACAATTAAGACCTTCCCTCAAGTACAAACAATTATGATCCCTTGACCTTGGAGTTTGACCTTTTAAAGAAATTAACCTTGACAATAACTTTTAAACTGTTGCTGCTATACTAGTATATATTTCACAGTATATTCTTTGTTCAAGACCTTTATTTGGGTAATAACATTTTTTTTATCTTTTGATCTTGACCATGGAGTTTGACTTGCATTTGAGAAACTTTAACTTTTGCCATAAGATGCCATATGGGGGCATCAGTGTTTCAAAAATCACACGTTGTTCAGTATCCAAATCGGGCATAAAACATTTACAATGATCCTCTAAAGCAGTGAGTTGAACCTAATAAATTACGACTATAGAAATTATGATAATTTATTTCGATGTATGGTCTAAAAAAACATTTATTATACCTCTGTGAAAACTAGCTTACAAGTGAAAAATCACTAGTAAAATAGAATTTGATTGGCCGAGAAAGTCACGTGTCCATCATGTTTGCCCTGCAACAAAACGTCGTGTTTCACGATTGTGACGTCACAATTAAACGAGTGAGGAGTTAGATTGTTTATAGCGACGCTGCTAACTTCGTTCGCGCGGTAACAACAACTTAAAATTCACCCCAAAAAATCACCTTAATTAATGGAATTGCATACAGATAGTAGATTAAACGTTCTTTGTTAAAATGTTTGCACTTTTCAAAATTCGTTTATGGAAGTACAGCTAACATACGTCATGAGACGTCACAGTCTAGACGTTCCAAATGTCTCGTGCTGTTTGAAGAGGCGGATCTTAAAATTAAGTGAACAATGCACTCGCCCAACGGTCGCACCGTCAACATATTATCGTTGATTGATTGTGTCGATTTAAATGTGTAAAAATGTAATGGTGTTTGAATGTTACTGGTGTGATCACACAAACTTGTCATGTAGGAATTTTTTTTAATGAAACGAGGCTATTGGTGTACCTGTAACTTACATCTCTTTCATATCATTCTCATCAAATGCATGTTTGCTTTATTCATTGGATCTCCTTTGTAATTCCTGCATTTTGGTTAATTCGGTATTATAAACAATTTATTGCATAATAGAGACATAAAGATTTCTTCGCAAATGAAAAATCATATTTCCCTCGGGCGTTGCCTTCGGGGAGTATGATTTTTCATGGGTGAAGAAATCTTCATGTTACCCTCGCGGAATTTGATTTTTTATGGGCGAAGAAATCTTCATGTCTCCCTCACTATCATGCAATAAATGCAAACTGTGAACTTGTCAAGTCCGAAACACACAAAAGGGTATCGCTGATATCATACAGAGTGTATCATTGCCTGATCAGGAACATAGGAAGCAAATTCATTTTTTTTTTTCGGGGGGGGGGGGGGAGGGGGCACAGCCATACATTTTCAGTTGACAGTTGAGGGGGCACTACTACCATAAATTTCCTGACAAGCAAAAAAAAAAGGTCACCAACTACCAAATATTCCTTGACAAGCAAAAAAAAAAAAAGAAGGTTATCAGACGTTTTTATTGAGGTGGCACAAGCTATAGTATCTATGTCTACTATTGTAATCTATATATCGGCAAAATTATTGGGGGGCACGCCCCCCTCGGTTCCTACGGCCATGTTGATTAAATTTAGGGTCACTAAGGAAAGAATGTTTTGACTAGATGAATGGTCTGAAAGAACATGTGTTAACTTGTCGAGTCGGTTACACATAGATGGGGTTTTCTTATAACCAGAGTGTGTCATGGTTTGATGCAAGGTCATTTGAACGAGTTCAAGGTCATCAACGGAGAAACAACATTCCTTAACTGTCTTTCTGCTGGTGAGACATTGCAAGTTGATACCCCTTACAAGATTGCTTATAACCTTAGAATGTGGCATGACCTTGACTCAAGGTCACTTCTTCCTGTTCGCAGCTCCAACGGAAGACCTACTCGTTGCTTTGCAACGAGCTCTGCTCTAGTTCAATGCATACAGTTTAAAATCACTTACAAAGTTTGTTGTAATAATAAACGTAGAAAGATAGATTTAATATTCTCCGCTTTTGAACACTATTAACCTAATTTAAAAAAGAAGAAAAGAAAGACTAGTTGTAATAAATAATTTAATAGTGAACCATAAACCACGTTTTAAACCTTATTAAAAAGAAAATTAACATTAAATACCGCAGGGTATATTATTGATAGCAAGTCTGTTTAAGTTATACACATGAAGAGGTCTGATTTCCTTGCCGAATGAAAAACGTTACCTGTTTACCTGGCCTGCTTTCTAATACGTATTACGCAATACCCATGGTATACTCGAACAAAACAACATTTTCATTAGATCAAAAAGGTGTAAAAGAACAATTTTGTTCCCAAGATCCAGATCGAAATATTTACCGTTTTTGAGTTATAAAGCAAAAACTTTTAAGGGCCCAAGATCCCTAATCATAGGGGCCAGCCCCTTTTAAATAGTATAATATGAAAGCCCTTGCAATTATGCACAACTTTTTTTCTACATGTCTTAACAAAATATTTCTAGTTTTCAAGATATGAAGGAAAATATGTCAAATTTTTTGCTGTTTTCCGCGTTCTAACTTTTGACCCCTCTCTAGCGCCATTTTTAATGCAAAAATCAAAAAACAAAAACCGATGTGCACAACTTCAATGCTTCCTCTTTTCAATTTCAAAGGGTTTTGTGCTCCAATTATAACCATTTCTGAGCCTTTGTCTGGAAATGGGAGGCATGCAAAATTCAATCAAAGGGGAATAACTCGTGAACAGAAGGTAATTTCCGAATTGTATTACGGTATTCTGACAGTGTTTTGTAAAGTCTAAAAGCTCTGAAAATTTGAACAAAATCTGTTTAAAAATGAGGAAGATATGAAGCGTCAAAGTTGGCGTCTAGGAAAAAAAAAAAAGAATAATAAGAATAATCTTAATCATCACAATCAGTAGAAGGTCTTCCGTTGGAAACGGAAGACCTTAAAAACGATGTTGTAGACATCTTTTTGACGCGACGGAGATGACCTTCAGTGTGATTAAGACCCTTTACAAGCGCCGCTATGACTGAGATTTTCAGGAACACTGTTACGAAGAGTGCCAGTAGTCCCAGACCTGAGTATATAGAGGCGTTCACACGCTCAAAAGTATCGTCACTGACGAAATTCAGGAAACACCAAGAACCCGGATAAAAATAGTAGACTGAGCCCAGTCCCATTAGATGTAGGCTGGAAATCAAGGCTCCACTTGTCCATATGAATAGAAGCGCAAACACAGCGCGCTTTCTGTCACCCTTTTCCACGTTGTACATGTAGTAGAAAGGAAAATAGACAGCCATAAAGCGATCTATGGACATAGCACAGACAATCAAAGCAGACGATAAAATAGTGAAAGGAGTAAGAAAAGAATTGTAGGCACACAAATTTTTTGGAAAGTGAAAGGTAAAATCCGTTGCATATCGAGCTAGGATGGGCGGATACATAAGCAGAATGCCCCCGCCATCCGTTAATGCTAGTCCTGCAACAAGTTTGTAGAACGTCTGCCATTTGTGTGTCGTTGATGAACAAACTAATATTAATAAAGCAGTGATATTTCCAGTTACTCCAAAAGCAAATTGCAACGATGGCGGAACAGCCGATTCCCAGACCATACCAGAGACGTTACTATCGTTCATAATCGTCCGCAATCTGCAGATCTCTAGATCAAAAATCGGTATCGCCTGAAGTTCTCAATTACATCTTTTGTTGGTTTCTTAGATATTACTCTTAAGTGACCGTGTCTCCCAGGGCCTATTGTAATTCCAAAGTCCAAATGCGCTTGATTAAATAAAAAGTTTTACATCCTCAATTTATTGATTGGATCAAGTACAAAAAGGAAATTTATAAGACGTCATATAACTATTATACAGATGACATTTCATAAATGACAATTCTACTGCATAAATAACAGTCTTCATGGGTTTCATGAATATTGATTATGTGACAGTGTACTTTAGAACTCATCACAAAAATGCCTGTCCCTGTACCTAAATCTGAAATCATTTATCTCTGTTTTAAAGATCGCGAGGTTTCATTATACCCGGTAGTAGAATTCTATGGATGCGAAACAAGATCTTGTTTAAGTTCGGCTTTTTATTCCTGATTTCAAAAATGAAACATGTTAAAGACATAATATCTAATTTAAAGTATATATCCTGTATGATTGAGGCCTTTGGTCTCTTGTTCATGAAAGATAAACATAACAAAGAACTCTTTGCATGGCTTTAAAATCTGTCTTTCAAAAAAAATAATATATTAAGTTATGATAGTACAAAAATTGAAATTAATTGAATATGCTTTATCATAAATTTACTGAATCCTGAGGAATAGCCTAAGGGTATCTTGAACGGGCCTTAGTTATATCTTAAAGATGAAATGTGATGATTCCGAACAATAATCAAGCTAAAAATCTAATGAAACAATACTAATATTGAGCAGAACAAAAACAGATCTGGTTGGATAAGGTGCCATGGGGGAGTAATCATCCCCTTTTGACCGGTTATCCGCTGTGTGCCCTTCGTCCTCATCGGGTAGACGGAGAAATCCGTAGCCTATTTAATAAGAAACTAATGGCCTTACAATTTGTATGAAAGACCTTAGTCAACCTTCGACCTACCGGAAGACTTTGTTTGCAACCAAGGTCATTGTATCGCAATATAGTTAGCGAATATTGACCTTAAACGAGATTGTATCATTCTTCTATCATCAACTATTTTGTCAATAGTTTGCATCGTTTTAGAAATTGTTCGTACGAAGAATATACTTTTTCGTATAGAATCAACTGGGAGACATAGACCTCATATGCCTGCAGATGATAATGGAATTAATATTGTTACTCAAAGGAGGGAAGTAGACGATATAAAAGTTGTTAGTTTGGTTGAAGTATGGTGGATGCTATTTGTTAATTAAATCAGAACGCATGAAGTTAAGCAGTTCAATTTATTCACTAAAACTCAAACCAGTGGAACACGCGGTATCAAAAAACATTTTAGTTCGGATATGATTTGAAAAATGAGATCAGGGGTAGAATGAAATATGGAGATAACGAGCAGTAATCAAGATCAGAAGTCGATTGAAACAATATACAATCGGGAGCAGAGAAAACACGGACTCAGATATAAACCCCATATGCACATGATAAGAGTATATTGTTACACAGGTAAGGGAAGTTCATAAGTTTTAAGGTTACCTTTAACATCTTTTCCTAGTAAAATATCCAAATATGAAACAGATGTGTCAGACTATTTCAAGTCCATTGGGATATATCGAGTCGACATGTGAATGGAAGTAACTATCGTCAATTTATAATACGTCGTCGATATATCCAAATGTCGAGTTGAAGTTAATTGTTAAAAATACGTAGCTTTTTTCAAGTCTCAATACAGGAACAAATATGTTTACAGAACTTTTAAAGTGTGTATTTTTAAAAAATAATTTTTCTTATTTAAAGCTTTTTCATTATATCAATAGAACATGGTAGTGTTCTAACAATAAAATCAAAGTGGGTAAGATAAAAAACATACGGAAAGATGTATAAATTATGGAAAGCCATAGGGAACCCCCATGTCATGTTCTATATATTTCATTGTAAATCAATCCTGGCCGGTCAGATTGGTAATCATGACCATGTCTAGATTTCAAACATGACCAAGCCATGATTTTCATCATCTTAACCAAGTCAGGATTGATAACATGATCAACCTATCTTGGCCAAGTCAAGATTTATAACATGGCCATGCTATCTTGGTCAAGTCAGGATTGATAACATGGCCATCCTATCTTGGCCGCGGTCATCATATAACATGGCCATCCTATCTTGGCCAAGTCAAGATTTATAACATGGCCATGCTATCTTGGCCAAGTCAGGATTGATAACATGGCCATCCTATCTTGGCCGCGGTCATCATATAACATGGCCATCCTATCTTGGCCAAGTCAAGATTTATAACATGGCCATGCTATCTTGGCCAAGTCAGGATTGATAACATGGCCATCCTATCTTGGCCGGTCATCATATAACATGGCAATCCTATCTTGGCCAAGTCAAGATTTATAACATGGCCATGCTATCTTGACCAAGTCAGGATTGATAACATGACCATCCTATCCTGGCCAAGTCAAGATAACATGACCATCCTATCTTGGCCAGGTCATGATTTAATCTTGACCAAGTCAGGATTGATAACATGGTCATCCTATCTTGGCCGGGTCATGATTCAATGTTGACCAAGTCAAGATTGACAACATATGCATCCTGGTCGGCCAGGATTGCATTCCGCCAGGATATATTAACTCCAAACGCAGCCAAGATTTCTTCAAGCGTCAATCCTGGCCAAGTCAGGATGTATTATATGGAAAGCCATAGGGGACCCCCATGTCATGTTCTATATATTTCATTGTAAATCAATCCTGGCCGGTCAGGATGGTAATCATGACCATGTCAAGATATGAAATATCATCAATTATCTCTTAAGAAGACTAATGGTATCTCAGTGTAGGACATGGAATGGATTGTGAGCAAAGAGCAAGAACTCTGACTCTGTGCTCGGCAAATTGTTAATTAAAATTAAAACAAAACATTGGCAAGAATATACTAGGAAGATTACCAAAAAATATTTAGGAACAAAGTCACAACATAAAGGATTATTTGCAGGTACAACCCAAAAATACAGTATGAAGCGTTAAAAATCGCGGCACGATCAAAGCAACAACAATTTATACCAGGTTATGTATAAAAAATGATTAATAGGTTTGTGCATATGTAATTTTGAACAAAATTATATCAATTGATTCGAAAAACTCCTGTGTGAGAGAATATGGCATCTATAATACAATGAAAACTGGCTATTTTCATCATTTTTCATGACACATTGACTATGTATAAATTTTCCAAATTAGTTTCATTTGAACACCAAGCATTGAGTTACGGCGAGGTTTTGGGAGATTATTTTATATGCATGGGTTTCTTGGAGTTATGGAGCACATATGGCCCTGACAGGTATAGCAGGGATATCAAGCCTTAACACTGGTTAGAATGAATGCCGTGGCCCCAACTGGTGCAGCGTGTACCTATGTATATGCAAATCAGTTAAAAATAGTAAATAATTATTTCTACTTTAATTAACATACTAGTAGATTACATTGATTATGGTGCATTTTAATGCAAGAAATTGCTAGGACCATTCGACGACAGTTTTCCAAAAAAGTGGTTGCAACGATACCAGTTAAGACACCCCCCGCCCCTTAAACACACATACACACACTACACAGACAAAGCTAGCAATAACAACTTAAGGATCTGGCAAATCAACAACATATTAATTAAGCACTGTGCGGGGTTCAACCAAAATTGAACAGTTATGCATATCTAATACAAGTTCTCACTGATTCTTAAACATATAATTTAATCAATTGGAGTCAAACGTGCATGTACCCAAATTATCATATTATAGGGTTAACGCACGAGCTTGCGAGTGCATTTGTATAGCCAAAGAGTACCAATATTCACCAATATAAGTTCGATAACTCCTTTAGTATATAGCTTAAACATTTTCCACTGATTTATATTAATGATTGCAATTAAATAACTCAAAATTAATGAGAATTTTTCAGTATCAGTTTTCAAATTAGAACTGTGCAATATCAGCGTCTGTCCTGTAAGTGTTCAATATCACATCATTCCAATGACCCTACCAAACGTTATGGTTTGCTTATTGAGATTTTTATTGAGGCTAATATATACTAAATTATTAATTAATAATTTCAATTTTGTGTGAAAATATACACATCTTACCTAGCTGCCATTACTCTTCATAAAAATTGCGATGAGCGATTGACCAGACATTGTTTTACAACGGAGCGTTCGATATTGAACGCTCGCATTCGGAATGTTTTCTGGACATACTCGTATACGTAATGCAAACTAAGCGTTCAATAAAATGCCAAGATATTGAACGCTAAAATTCTGTAGACTTTTAGTAGTTTTTTTTTTATTATAGACTATTCATCAGCTATATAATAATACATTAGTATGTCTACTAAGAAAAAATGAAGACAAAAAACTGAATATTTACAATGAAAAGCAGCCTATCCTAGTAGACATAAATTGTGTATCTATATAAATATCCCCAAAATCAGAGTAAAGATTTTTTCTTCTCTGGGGGAAAGAGGTGAGGGTAGTGCGTGTTTAAATTAAATAAAGTTTAACTTTAATACCCATAGTCCTAAAACAAACCTAAGAGATCTTATTTACAACATGTTCTGTTATGTTTTAGACGTACATTTAAAATATGCGTATATTAATATTAAACAACAAAGAAAAATATGTGCAACGATATTCGTTATGATGCAATACTAAAATGATTGATTTTTAAAAAAAATAATCTGTATTATTATGGGAAATATCCCACTAATCCGCATCTCTCTACAAAGAGCACAGGTCTGTATTTATATGTGTTCTACAGTGAACACAGAGTTGTCAGTCTCTCTTCTACTAAACCTCTTCTCCGGATCAGAGGATTCATCTCCATCATAAACTGATAAACAAAAAAGATTTAAATTAAATTGAGTAATCAATTTCTAATGTAAAATTGACGAAATTAGAAACAAACAGAAAAAAATTAAGAGTAACGTCTAAATACCAATGCAATCTATATAGGTAGATTTTGTTGCCACGTCCGGTAAAGTTGAGAGATCTTTGGTGTATTTTTCCTTAGGTTGTTCTACACGATTATTTTCAGAACTATTATGTGCTACACAACAATTAAAGATCACTGCCTTTATTCTGAGTAGTCCAAGGACTGTCTCCTTCCGCAGCAAAATATAGATCCAAGGGTCCACGATTGAGTTAGTGACTGCTAATCTCAGAACCAAAAGTTCTACCGATCCGTTTGAGTTCATCAAGTGACAAGCATGAGCAAAGATGATACTCTGTAAGAATTATGAAAATTGGATAAGTTTCTCTGTAACAAAGGAAATCTGCTACACACTTTATTGCTTTGATAGGAACAAGTGAGAAAACATAAAGGTAAAGAATGATTTTTTTTATATGTATAAAGCAGATAAAAACAGATTTATTAAGATTAAATGTACCTATTGATAATGTACCTATTGATAATGTACCTATTGATAATATACCTACTGATAATGTACCTATTGATAATATTCCTATTGATAATATACCTATTGATAATATACCTATTGATAATATTCCTATTGATAATATACCTATTGATAATGTACCTATTGATATTGTACCTATTGATAATATACCTATTGATAATGTACCTATTGATAATATACCTATTGATAATGTACCTATTGATAATGTACCTATTGATAACATACCTATTGATAATGTACCTATTGATAATGTACCTATTGATAAAATACCTATTGATAATATACCTATTGATAATATACCTATTGATAATGTATCTATTGATAATGTACCTATTGATAATGTACCTATTGATAATATACCTACTATCAATGGTGCCCAACAGGAGCTGAATACGATGACAATAACAAGAAGGAAGGATACAATAAAGATGTCGTTTTTCTGCCGCCGTTTGGAACTGCGGATGTCTGATTTCATGTTCCTCACCACTGAGACAATAACCACGGTGTTAACAGATATAGTGACTAGCAGAATGAGAAATCCAAAGACAGAATAGATGTACGAATTAATCCTATCCAGCATATCCATTTCTACGAAGTTAATGAAGCACCATGACTTGGGGTAGTAGTTAAAGCTAGAACCAAGTCCAACCAATTGGAGACCTGCAACAAGGGCCCCTACTGACCAAATGATACCCAACATGATGTTGGCTCGCCGTCCATTTTTATCTGAGTTGTAGGTAAAGGGGTACAAAATGGCGACAAATCTATCAAGTGACATTGCGCACACAATCATTGCTGAGGAAATCAGAGTGAAAGTGTAAACAAAGGAACTGTAGTTGCATAGCTCCTTAGGAAATACGTATGTGAAGTCTGTAGCATAACGGACCATGACCGTTGGGTACACTAAGAGTATACCTCCACCGTCTGTCATCGCCAGACCACCAACAAGGCGATAGAACGGCCGCCATTTGTGCTTCTTTGATGACGTCACTAGTACCACGAGAGCAATGATATTTCCAATGACCCCAAATCCAAACTGTAGCGCAGGAGGAATGGCGGACTCCCACATTTTCTGGTCCGATGTAGAATTCTGTTGAACAGTGTTAGATATATTTTTCTCTAAAGTCATCTCCATTTCAAACCCAGTCTGTTATTCAATTACTCAAATTTTCTCACAGTCTGCCAATAAATTGTTGCTTAAACCTTAAAATTCACTTCTGAAAACTAAACATCATCGATTTAAAATGATAAAAAATCAAGTCACTTCCCGTTATTAATGCTGATCCTGGAAGATTTATCAGGAATATACTCTCGATATGGTCAATATTCAGAAATTTGTTTAAATATGAAACAAATTTGATTGGAAATCGTAAGTAACTCATAATTTATAAAATATTGCTTCCAATAAAAATCGAAAGATTAATTATATAATAAGGGCTCTAATCAATAAATCTTTTCTTGGCGAATCATGCATTAGTTTCGTATTTTCAGGTGCTTATATATGTAAGTAGATAATTATTAAGCGAATTGCTAATGAAATATTGAGCAGCTGTTACACGGACACATTTTCAACAAAAAATTGAATATAAAATGTCCAGAAAATCGATAAGCAGTTCGTATAGTGACCATCAAATACTCCAGAAGGTCATGTTAATTACAACTGTCACATATTAATTACCTATCCACCATTTACTGGGATAAACATTCCAGATTGGCGATGGAGAACTATTTAAGAGAAACGTAAATACTCAATTAACGAACTATAATATTCATTAAAGAAGTAATTTCCTGCAGCTTAAGATATTTTCCATAAGAGCTTAGAACTGTTCGAAAACGTGCAAAGGATAAAATGGTTCCAGTATAAAAGTGACTTAAATAGAAAACAAATAATTCTGTTTCATTTCTGAGTTCCATTAGAAAACTTTTCAAAGTTGACAAATACCCTTTATACACAATGGACGGAACAATCGGGACATTTTCATTATCCCTAAGACGTCCATCTATCTGTTATTAAAACTTCACAAACAACACGGAATTGACAATGAATGGGTGAGTAGCATTTTGTATTGACAAAAATGTTTTTATAAACAAAGGGCACATAGGTTACAATTCTGTACTACATTGCCTTGTCCTGCTGTACTTGAGGAGTCCATTTTCTGATAATTTTCTCTATTTTTTCCCAATGTCAAACCCTAACCATCTATTGTCTCCGTATCCTTGGCGCAGAGTAATTAAGTCACCACACTTGAATCTACGCTACACAGTATGAAAATCATGTTCATGCTGTTCTATAGATGATTTATTTGAGATCTTTACCACCTCTCATTGCCCCACAATTGCCCAAATTGTTATATGTTATATGACCGATATTTGTTCTGTTATCGGTATGGATCTTAAATACTTTCCCCTTTATACTCATGTGTCAAATTGTGTTATTGTTGTTCATACCTATCCTTTAGGGTCGTGATGTAAAAAAAAAAAACCCACCTATAATCTACACTCTATGAAGTTGCTGACCTATCAGTATAATTAATCGTGGCGCTTCTTCAAGAGAAGAATTTAACGATCTTTTCCAAATGTACATGTATTCTCAAGTAAAACTTCGACCCCTATTTTGACCCAAACATAGGCCTGTGTTTAATGATTTGAATAAATGTGAATATCTGAATTTACCTTTAGTTTTTCAGAGAAGATTTTAAAGATATCTTTTCATATAGTCTGTAAATTTCGATGTAAAACGTTGACTCCCTCCTTTTTTTGTCACACTTACATTCAGGTCTATCATAGTAAAAAATCAGAACATGCAGATAATTGTATAATACGAGGACCTTTGTCCTGCTGATTCTTAGACATTTTGTTATCAATATATTCTAGACTAAGTGTAAAGAGAAAGAGCCACTTAGGGCCTTTTATGGCCCTGAGAATTTCTGAAAAATCGAAACTGCTCAGTTTTGGTTGAAAATGCAGTACATGTATTTATAACTTGGACCCTTGGTGACCGTGTATCTATTGAACATGACGTAATTCTCTCTCTAGTCAATGCATTATGACGTCATAAAATGCGTCATTTTCCCCATTTCCCCTAAATTCCCTTAAAAATGGCCAAAAGATGAGGTATTTTTTCAATATTTCACATAGAGCACGACCTCTGATCCAAAATATGCAATTGAATAATGAAAGATCTATTTCTGAAGATCACAAAACATGTTTTAATATTTGGATCCTGGGCTGTGCTCATATTTTAATTCTTTGCTGATGGTAGTCAAATACGCACTGATGTTTTCGGCAAAATTCAAGAACATTGCATTTTCTCAAAGCCTGTTTTCCGATACCTGGATTCTCAAAAAAAATTTGTTATAGGAAATAAAAGCACTAAGTCTCTACTTTATTCTGATATGTGAAATGGGACAGAGGGTGATAGTCAATTAATTGATATAAGGACAGGGCCATTTTATGCATAAAGTGAACCTAGCTCTTTCTGAACTCCTCCTGCTACCCTACTCAATGTTTGGGATCATTTTGTTTCGATACACACAGAGAAAGAAGGTGGGGGATCAAGGGTGCAAAATACATATAGCTTGAAATGCATAAAAGTCATATTAAATTTGTGAATTAAGTATTTAATGTAAAGTTCTTTTCAGTGAAAGTTAGGAAATTATGACAAACAAAAATTTTCTGCGAAGAAAGATCGAAGAATTGATCATTGTTTCCCTCTTTGGTGTATGTATCTAATTACATAAATGAATAATTTTGTGAAATTGTTGCGATTTGTGGAGATTTTACATAAAGTATACGTAAATGTTAAATGAAATATTGAAGAAAATTTGCAATAAATGAGATTTAATTTTTCACATTTTAATCTGTCGCACAATAGATATTTTGTCCCCCATCTTCTTTTCATGAGTTGTTATGTTTGCCCCAAACAATTTTAAAATGATCCTATGATATGCACAATGTAATAATTATTTCCAAGTAAAAGGGACATAGATCTTTCTTTGAACGCCATTAAACTAAATTTTCTTGAAATTGGATGAATGGATTGACTACGGAAAAACCCCGATCAGAAAAGCTCACTTGTAAAAATAAAAAAAAAGAAACTGTTGCCTTTTATACGGGAAAGTGGCAGGTGGTTATATGTGCTTTTATTCTTAACAAATCTGCTTTCTGTAATTTGGTTATTTATTTTCTGAAATAGACGTCCCATCTTTGTAACAATTGTGTGCCAATTCCTCGGAATATTTGGTGTGGTTACATCATTATGTTTTCAATGGAAAGATGCCATACCGGGAAGGAAGACTGGTCACGTGATTCACAGCTATCAGTCAATGGGAATCACGTCGTGTTCGAAGGAATGCCTTATAAGAAAAAGTTGTGCTTTTATTAACTTCGACCCAGGCAATCTTCTGTGTGAGCTTATTGGGAAAAACAGCAAAGACAACTCGTTACTTGGAGGACATTTCAAACACATCGATAAGTTTGCAATGGATAGAAAAGTAATGTATTGAAAGCTTTGTATTTGATGCCAAACATTTTAAAAAAATCTGGAAAACTGAAATGTATATTTATTCTTAACTTTTACATATTGCCGATTAATTTTATTTACCGATGCATTAGATATTTTTTTTATCATTGACCGAACCGTTTTCAATGATTATTCGTGAATCTTACCAGCAATGGATGCTCACTCTTTCGAAAAAAACTTCACTTCATGTTTTCTCTATAAATTGTGTTTTATATCGGCAAGGTACCCACGGGAGTCTGTAATGATAAGCTCTGTGCAATTGGTCAGAGGTGTACTGTGACTAAACATTCCTACGCATGCGTTCAAACTGGTGAGTACCAATATCAAATGTCAATTTTCAACATGTCTTGGCAATCAAATCAATTTAACGTAGCGGAAAATTATATGCAATTTTTGAAAAATGAAATAAAATAAATAATAATAAATAGAAACCTAAAAAATGGCGTTTAAAAACTTCAATATTTTTAAATATGTAAATAGAACTTGTCATTGTTTCTATTGATAATCAAGTTCAGATCTGTGTCATAAAACAAGTTATATTATACATATGCTATTGCTGTACAGAATGTCCGCAATTCAATTATGGGGGAGTAACACTCCAGGATTCCAGCACATTAAAGATCGGATCAGAGATTAAAATGGTGTGTGAAAATAAAAGAAATATATCCATAGTCATTACCTTGCGGTGTCTGCCGAACGGCAGGTGGGAAAACATGGATTATTCACTTTACAAATGTAGTAAGTTAAGTAACACATACATAGTGGTTCATAGACTTGTGAGAAAGCCTTTTATTCAAATCTTCAGTTAAAAAATACGGATCGTTTCTATTTGCTATTTCTAAGAGATTTATTCATTTTCCCGGCAGTTTATGTTATTCTTGCATGTTCTACTCTAGAAATTGTAAGCAAAATAAATGATGAGATGAAATACCATGGAACACCCTAGAGAGAACATTCTAAATGTTTACGATCGAGGAATACTGTAAAAATTCAAATGAAGTCAATCACAATAAATGAAGTAATAAAACTGGTATATATGTACAACATCACAGCATTCTTCTAAAAGAGTATGACTTCGGAAATTGGTCTTTGAACTACCAAAATGTCTGTCTTATTTAAACCAACCCCCCTCCATCCCAACCCCAAATATTTATTTTACAGTAACATTAAGAGAAAACGTACTGTTGAGCAAATAGATCAAAAGACAAGATTCAATGGTTATTTCCATTCTTATGTCGACACGATATATCCCGGTGAGCTTGAGATAAAAGATACTACAGAGTCTGACACATCTGTTTCATATTTGGATATTTTATTAGAAAAAGACGTTAATGGTAATCGAACAACAAAGCTTTATGGTAAACGTGATGACTTTAACTTCCCTTACTTTTGCAGCAAAATACCCTTATCACCTGCATACGGAGTTTATATCTCTCAGTTGATTCGATACGCCAGAGCATGCTCTGCGTATGAACAATTTCTAAAACGAGGTAAGTTATTGAAGTTGATGAAACAAGAATATCAGCAGTCTCGTTTAAAGTCACCAGTTCGTAAGTTCTATGGTCGATACAATGACCTTGTCAGCAAATACAATTTATCATTGAGTCAAATGC